GTAACTTGGTCTTAACCATTTTACAGTCCCTGACGCACGCAACCATGCAGTGATCACTGACGTCATTACAAAAAACACCAGCCGCAAAAAATTTGTGTGGAGCATTGGTCAGGATAACGTCAAGCAGCGTAGATTTGTCCATACATTTAATATTAAGGCGTGTAGGGGACTTGATCAGCTGAGTCAACTGCAGTGCATCACACAAGTCTCTTAATGCAGAGGACGACGAGAGATAGTCCCAGTTTAAATCCCCCAAGACGATGTACTCGCTTGACAGCTTTCCCAGGAAGTCAGACAGCAGCGCAGATGCTCCAGCCACTGCCGATGGTGGCCTGTAGCAACCTACTACTGTCAAGGAAGCGCCATTGGGGAGATTGAGTTTAATGGCACAGAGTTCGAAAAACTTTGGTTTACTAATTGCCTCGACGACGCAGCAGTCCAAGGAGGCCTTTACATATATGGCCACCCCTCCTCCTTTTTTCCCACGGTCCGTCCTATAGATATTGTACCCTTCGATGTAAACCACATTGTTCGCAATCGCAGGCTTGAGCCAGGTCTCAGATAATACGAGTATATCACTGTCCGTCATTTTAACCCATATGCGAATAGCGTCGATTTTATTTATAAGGCTGCGCACATTGACATGGATGAAACGCAAGCCACTGCTGTTTTTCAAAACATCGGGACTCGACAGTTCAGTCACTAGTGGTCCTGGGTTTGGATGTATGTTACCTGACAAACACAGAAGAATGGTGATCCAAAGCGCTGATCTTGTTGCGCTGCTGGCGGCTCCCCTGCCGCGCCTGCTACAGATGAACCGAGAATGTCCAATTTCGGGCCAGCTGACAGGTTCGGTTGGGCAAAGGGGCTCAGCAACACATCCAGTTAGGGGTGCAAATCCGCTCGTGTCAGTACACAACCCAGTTCCAGCATTCGATAGTACAATCCGCCAAGAGGAATTATAAAATCCATCATCATTTGCAGCTCCCACGACGCCCATGAACGGTGAGTACAGCACAAACACAAATGATAGATAAACTGGGAGTCTGAAGGTGCAGCCAGACCTACGTGACTGAGTAGGCCTAGGCCTGGGTTTGCGTAGTTGTTTATGGCTACTCATCGCCATAGTGTTACGATTTTTGTGATGCCACTTAAAGAAGTGCTCTGAGGAAAACGTGATCCAAAAAAATCTAAGAAATATAGCCCAATTAATCCATTAAAAACACAGAAACAGGTAACGCAGACAGATGTGAAAACACCTATGCCGCCATCTTGGATTTCCCTGTTACCAAAGATTGTTTACCGCTAGGAAGGGGCGGGGCTTGAAGAGAGCCTGAAGAGACCTCTGCTGCATGTCAGCATCGCTGGGTCAGTCTGATAGTTTGGCCATTTAGGGGAGAAATTGTCCTTGATTCCTAAGCTGAAAATAAGAAAACAACTGATTAAAAACAAGCAAGTCAAATAAGCATGGAGGCAAAAAGAAAGATGTGGATGCAGAAGAGAAGATGCTTCCTGGTTCGAGAGAAGACGGGACACAGAACCTGAGGTCACTCTGTCAGAGCTCTTTCGAGAACCATGTCTAACTCCGGTCCTGGAAGGTCACTTTCCTGATGCCATCCAGAAAGAACTTTCAACCCTGTGGGATGTTAATCAATGCCAGGGTCCTGACTTAAACCTCATCAGTAATCTGAAAATGGCTACAGAGATGTTCTCCATCCACTCTGATGGAGCTTCAGCTGTTCTACAGATGGTCTGGTCCAAATAGTGGGCGGAGCCTCAGCTGGAGCCATCGGATCCAAACAGGCCTGAGGTTGGAGGATCGGCAAAGGCTGTGAAAACGTAGATGTGTTTTCTTTGTTTACTATTATTTTTTTATTTTTAATGACAGTCAAACAAGTGTGTAGAAGATGAGACGGTTAGTGCAGCACTGTGACTGTCATCACATGCTGCCCGAATCGCCTTCATCATCATCATCATCCTCCTCATCCTTTTACCGCCCTGCCCTTCTGTCCAACTTTATTTCCTCCCACTTTATTTGCTCCCCTGACAGATCGATGGTCAAAGCTTACATTTTCCAGCGTTGTTCAGATCCACGCCTTGCTCTGAGGCAGAAGGCGTGGCTGAGGTCAGGGGGAGGTCAGGTCTTAATCACAGTCAGCTGATCTTTGATGCATAATCCCATCTTTTTACACCTTAATCTGGCGGCAGCACCTGGTGCTCGGATCAAACCTTCAAAGATAATAGAATCTGTTTAACAAATCTGGATTTCTCAGAGGATTATGAAGGATGTAGGGAAATGTATGCAAACTTCTGAGCTCCAGTGGGGTTTTTTTAAACCATGAGCAGCTAATAGTCCTGAAGTTCACGTTCGATGGGATCTCGGTAGCTTTTCATTATTTTCCTGCAGGGCTGCAGTTATTTTATTGTTGAATATAAATACTTTAAAAACCTTTAAGCATATTTGCTGTTTCTGATTTTGGAAAATAAAATCCACCTTCTTTTCTATTAGATTAGATTCAGATTTGCTTGTTTCAATCACATGGGAAAATATGCCCTTTTTTCCCTCAAATGTTAACATTTAGGTCAGTTTTGTTTTTTTCACACCACTGATATAAAAGCAGCTGCTTTATGACAAGCTGACAAGTAAGTGAGGGTTATTCCTATGGTGTCGTGGGGTCAGAGACACCCAGCTGAGTCATGTCTGCACCAGGAGAGATGCTGAAGGTAAAATGTTGCTGCAGTGGATGTTTTGGAGAGAAACGGAGGCTAAACTGAGGTTAGCAGCAACTTTTTCAGAACAGGAAGAGCAAAATACAGTGTCTGTTAGGTTAGATCAGCCAGTCGAACTATAAGTTATCAGACACAATTCCAATATTTGAAATCACTAATTACAAATATTAGGTCAGAACATTTTTTTTTCTATTTTAATTTATAAAAAAAAAAAAAAAAAAAAACTTTAAATAATAAACTAACTAGTGTGATTTTTCAAATCTGAATCAATTATTTTAATTAACAAAGATCGATTAATTAACCCTTTATAGGCCACTCAGTTAAATACTTTGACAATCAAAATTTTAAGCCAATAGTGTTATTGGAATCCAGGACAAGACCCTATTACCCTAACATTCCAAAAAATATGGATAATTTGATGGCAAAATGAATATCAATGTAATAACAAGAAACACCAACTTTCCTGAATATATTAGGACAAATAACAAAAGTGCTTTTATAAGAAATTCATGAAAAACCCTCTGAGAGTGACAGACACATGTTCTTTTTGGTCCGACATAACCTTAGAGGCATTAATGCTGATACCGGCACTTACATTTTTTAATTTATGGACCTAAATATAATAGTTAACTAGGCTTATTAACCTTTTAACTTAACTTTTTAATTTTTTTAACTTTTTTTTGACTTGTTCACTTTTTTTCAACTTAATTTACAGTAGTTAATGTATCATTCAATGGCTCATTTAATTGTTCAAATGCCAAAATAAGATGTTGAGCCATGTAGCAGCATCTTTGCTGAATGGTTGGATATAGATCTTGTGCTTCTAGACTTCACTGTGGGACCCTATAAAGGGTTAAGCCAAAGATCAATTCTATAGAAATGCAGTGTCCTCTGTTGTTACAGCCTCCATAACCAACTGTTACTTTATTGTTTTTATGTTGATATAAAATTATTATTAAGATGCTGCAGACTTACACGGTGAGATGATTTAGGTTACAGCTAAGCATGTTTTTGATACCAGGAATCCAGTTGGAGATCAGAACAGGTGAATTCAGATCCAATCGATTTAATGGATTACCAAACCCCAATTAAAGTTTGTAAAAGAAAAGGGCCAGAGGATCATTGGTGTGATCTGGGTTCCCTTCAGGGTCACCCTCTCCTTCCAGGTTCCTTATTTGCTCTAACGAAAGATGATAAAGGATGAATCGTTCACAGTTTCTGTTTTAGAAGGAACCAAATTTGTTCTGCTGTCAGACCGTGAACCAGGGGTCACATGTGCTGGTGAAGATTCTCAGTCATCCAGGTCATAGTTGTTCCAGAAAAGTGAAAAAAAATGTCAGTCGACTGGACTTGGTTTCCAAGTTTGATGATGTTTTGCTTCCTATCCAGGAAGCTTTTTTAATTCAAAGTGTCAGAATAAGCATTGAGTTTCAAAACTAAGGCTTATTTCAGCTTAGAAAACATGCAAATTGAACCAGAAGGGGCCACATGGTATCATTCCGAGGGCCACAATAATGCCTCACAGAGACACCCCTGTTATTGATGATAACATGGACTGTGGGTTTTATATTATTCTTCTTAAAGCGATGGTTGTAGATGATCAGTTCTGAACCAGATTATTAGTGCTCCATGTTGGATTTAAACCAATTATTAAGTGGAAGCTGCTCCTTATTTGTTTCTTCTGTTTATTTTTCCACCAGTAGTGAATCATTCAAATGCAATAATTAGCATAGATGGGTGAAGCTTTAATGTTTGCTGCTTTTCTTCGTGTTGATCTAAGATCATCCTTGAGTTCAGCCTCAGGATGCAGGATCCAGCTGCTCCTTGATTCCAGTCGAAAGTCCGGAGCCGTCCTCGCTCCCTATGCTTTATCGCGCTGCCATTGCGACAGTGCTGCATGATGGAGGTTGACCTGCCAAGTCTATGCTCCTTTTAATTAGAGATAAAAACATCAGCCGTCCTCATGATTTAGATTTCTAACTGAAAACAGTAGTTACTCTGAGCCTTCAAGAGCTGATGGGGAAACTGTGCTCCTCATCCTGTCCACGATCAGAGGAGAGTTCGGCGCTGTAATCTGGGTGGGCGTGTCTAACTGTGGGTCTGGGTCATCCTTAATGATTTCAGGTTCAGTCTTCTGCCTTTTCTCTAAGGATTGTTAAAATGTTTAATGGACGGACGGGTTTTCTCTCCCAGCCTTACCTCTGCATGGCGACATCAGCCTGACGGCAGCGGGTGTGAGCAGCCAATCAGCCGAGGCCCCTGGTAGCAGCATGGCATCCCGTCAGAGGAACTCTGTCCGGATCCTGTCCAGCCGGGAGCGGGGATCAGAGACGTTTGGCTCCCGGCGGCTCCTGCAGCTGCTGGTGGAGGAGAAGGTCCGCTGGATGAAATGGCAGAGCCAGGTGGGTCACGGGTCGCCTCCGCTTTGAAGGGGTTCTGAAATGAAAGCCGAGTTATCGATAACGACCGATTAGGCTCTGTGGGAGCGGCTTTAGTGTTCTGTGCCTTCATCATGTGTTTATCTCTGTCTGTTACAGAAGGTGGAGCTTCCTGACAGCCCGCGATCAACGTTCCTGCTGGCCTTCAGCCCTGACAGGTAACATGCACTTTCTAAACATAAACTGGTTTCTGCCTCCAGCCGCTTTGTAGTCCATGACTGCTGCTGGGTTTCCTCCACGCATCATGACTGCTGCTGGGTTTCCTCCACGCATCATGACTGCTGCTGGGTTTCCTCCACGCATCATGACTGCTGCTGGGTTTCCTCCACGCATCGTGACTGCTGCTGGGTTTCCTCCACGCATCGTGACTGCTGCTGGGTTTCCTCCACGCATCATGACTGCTGCTGGGTTTCCTCCACGCATCGTGACTGCTGCTGGGTTTCCTCCACGCATCATGACTGCTGCTGGGTTTCCTCCACGCATCATGACTGCTGCTGGGTTTCCTCCACGCATCATGACTGCTGCTGGGTTTCCTCCACGCATCATGACTGCTGCTGGGTTTCCTCCACGCATCATGACTGCTGCTGGGTTTCCTCCACGCATCGTGACTGCTGCTGGGTTTCCTCCACGCATCGTGACTGCTGCTGGGTTTCCTCCACGCATCATGACTGCTGCTGGGTTTCCTCCACGCATCATGACTGCTGCTGGGTTTCCTCCACGCATCATGACTGCTGCTGGGTTTCCTCCACGCATCGTGACTGCTGCTGGGTTTCCTCCACGCATCGTGACTGCTGCTGGGTTTCCTCCACGCATCATGACTGCTGCTGGATTTCCTCCACGCATCATGACTGCTGCTGGGTTTCCTCCACGCATCATGACTGCTGCTGGGTTTCCTCCACGCATCATGACTGCTGCTGGGTTTCCTCCACGCATCGTGACTGCTGCTGGGTTTCCTCCACGCATCGTGACTGCTGCTGGGTTTCCTCCACGCATCATGACTGCTGCTGGGTTTCCTCCACGCATCGTGACTGCTGCTGGGTTTCCTCCACGCATCATGACTGCTGCTGGGTTTCCTCCACGCATCATGACTGCTGCTGGGTTTCCTCCACGCATCGTGACTGCTGCTGGGTTTCCTCCACGCATCATGACTGCTGCTGGGTTTCCTCCACGCATCGTGACTGCTGCTGGGTTTCCTCCACGCATCATGACTGCTGCTGGGTTTCCTCCACGCATCATGACTGCTGCTGGGTTTCCTCCACGCATCATGACTGCTGCTGGGTTTCCTCCACGCATCATGACTGCTGCTGGGTTTCCTCCACGCATCATGACTGCTGCTGGGTTTCCTCCACGCATCGTGACTGCTGCTGGGTTTCCTCCACGCATCGTGACTGCTGCTGGGTTTCCTCCACGCATCATGACTGCTGCTGGGTTTCCTCCACGCATCATGACTGCTGCTGGGTTTCCTCCACGCATCATGACTGCTGCTGGGTTTCCTCCACGCATCGTGACTGCTGCTGGGTTTCCTCCACGCATCATGACTGCTGCTGGGTTTCCTCCACGCATCGTGACTGCTGCTGGGTTTCCTCCACGCATCATGACTGCTGCTGGGTTTCCTCCACGCATCATGACTGCTGCTGGGTTTCCTCCACGCATCATGACTGCTGCTGGGTTTCCTCCACGCATCGTGACTGCTGCTGGGTTTCCTCCACGCATCATGACTGCTGCTGGGTTTCCTCCACGCATCATGACTGCTGCTGGGTTTCCTCCACGCATCATGACTGCTGCTGGGTTTCCTCCACGCATCATGACTGCTGCTGGGTTTCCTCCACGCATCATGACTGCTGCTGGGTTTCCTCCACGCATCATGACTGCTGCTGGGTTTCCTCCACGCATCGTGACTGCTGCTGGGTTTCCTCCACGCATCGTGACTGCTGCTGGGTTTCCTCCACGCATCATGACTGCTGCTGGGTTTCCTCCACGCATCATGACTGCTGCTGGGTTTCCTCCACGCATCATGACTGCTGCTGGGTTTCCTCCACGCATCGTGACTGCTGCTGGGTTTCCTCCACGCATCATGACTGCTGCTGGGTTTCCTCCACGCATCATGACTGCTGCTGGGTTTCCTCCACGCATCATGACTGCTGCTGGGTTTCCTCCACGCATCGTGACTGCTGCTGGGTTTCCTCCACGCATCGTGACTGCTGCTGGGTTTCCTCCACGCATCGTGACTGCTGCTGGGTTTCCTCCACGCATCGTGACTGCTGCTGGGTTTCCTCCACGCATCGTGACTGCTGCTGGGTTTCCTCCACGCATCATGACTGCTGCTGGGTTTCCTCCACGCATCATGACTGCTGCTGGGTTTCCTCCACGCATCGTGACTGCTGCTGGGTTTCCTCCACGCATCGTGACTGCTGCTGGGTTTCCTCCACGCATCGTGACTGCTGGTGGGTTTCCTCCACGCATCATGACTGCTGGTGGGTTTCCTCCACGCATCATGACTGCTGGTGGGTTTCCTCCACGCATCATGACTGCTGCTGGGTTTCCTCCACGCATCATGACTGCTGCTGGGTTTCCTCCACGCATCATGACTGCTGCTGGGTTTCCTCCACGCATCGTGACTGCTGCTGGGTTTCCTCCACGCATCGTGACTGCTGCTGGGTTTCCTCCACGCATCATGACTGCTGCTGGGTTTCCTCCACGCATCATGACTGCTGCTGGGTTTCCTCCACGCATCGTGACTGCTGCTGGGTTTCCTCCACGCATCGTGACTGCTGCTGGGTTTCCTCCACGCATCGTGACTGCTGCTGGGTTTCCTCCACGCATCATGACTGCTGCTGGGTTTCCTCCACGCATCATGACTGCTGCTGGGTTTCCTCCACGCATCGTGACTGCTGCTGGGTTTCATCCATGCATCATGAAGCACCAACCTGAGGGGGGAAACTTGACATTCTTTAGCCAGTTCTGGATGGTTTCAGGATCAGGCTTCATGGGCCAATTCCTGGTTTCACTGTTTCAAACACACCTTCGTCCGTGTCTATTAGCTGCTTTTTTTCTCTATAAATCCCTTCAGAGCCCTCAAGCTGGGAACAGCTGCGCCATCAGTATCATGATCAAAACAGTCGATATTAGAATTAGTCTTTAAAAAAACCACACTGATCCATGTCTACATTCATTTACCTCTTATTTCTGTTGTTTGAAAACAGCTTCTCTTTAGTGAAGATTTAACTCTGACTTCAGCCGCTCTTACCGTCTCCTTTGTCTTGGCAGGTCTTTAATGGCCTCCACACACGTCAACCACAACATCTACATCACGGAGGTGAAGACGGGAAAGTGCCTGCATTCCTTGGTGGGCCACCGGAGGACCCCATGGTGCGTGACCTTTCACCCCACCATTCCTGGCTTGGTGGCCTCTGGGTGCCTTGACGGGGAAGTCCGCATATGGGACCTGCATGTGAGTATCAACCAACCACCGCCTGCGATGAACGGAGCGGGTCGAAGCCGATAACCTGGCGACCAGGCTGGGCGGAATCCTGGAGATCTGAATCAGTCCGGATCGTTCCACTGAATCACTTCTCCGTCCGTCCGTCAGTCTGACGTCATATTGAGGTCCAACCAGTTTGTTTGCAGGAAAGCGGAAAACTGGATGTTAGATGTTCAGCATGACTTGAAGAAATCTTCACCCAAATTAAAACATTCTGTAAGTTTGTTTATGGAAAGACGGCAAAAAGAAATAAAGCAAAGGAGAACATTAGTCAAGCTTTAGGGCGTTGATCCGACTTCAGGAAGCAAAGCAGCTGAGAAGCCATGAGGAGGCAGCTGTTTGCTGATTCTAAAACTACTTTATTAAAACTTGTTGAAATCATGATGCATGAGCTGTCTTACTGCTCTGGCAGATTATTTATGTAGAGTAGAGAATAATCTAACAGAATCTGCTCTTGCTGCTTGTGTCGATCTAAAAACAAGATCAGAAAGACTTTTTGTATACAGGTGCTGGTCATAAAATTAGAATATCATGAAAAAGTAGATTGATTTCAGTAATTCCATTTAAAAAGTGAAACTTGTATATTATATTCATACATTACATACAAACTCATATATTTCAGATGTTTATTTTGTTTAATTTTGATGATTACAAATGACAACAAATGAAAATCTCAAATTCATCATATCAGAAAATTAGAATATTACTGAAGACCAATAAAAACAAAGGATTTATAGAAATGTTGGCCAACTGAAAAGTATGAACATGAAAAGTATGAGCATGTACAGCACTCAGTATTTAGTTGGGCCTCCTTTGGCCTGTATTACTGCAGCAATGCGGCGTGGCATGGAGTCGATCAGTCTGTGGCACTGCTCAGGTGTTATGATAGCCCAGGTTGCTCTAATAGTGGCTTTTAGCTCTTCTGAATGGTTGGGTCTGGTGTATTGCATCTTCTTCTTCACAATACCCCATATATTTTCTATGGGGTTAAGGTCAGGAGAGTTTGCTGGCCAATTAAGAACAGGGATACCATGGTCCTTCAACCAGGTACTGGTAGCTTTGGCACTGTGTGCAGGTGCCAAGTCCTGTTGGAAAATGAAATCTGCATCTCCAAAAAGTTGGTCAGCTGCAGGAAGCATGAAGTGCTCTAAAACTTCCTGGTATGTGGCTGCGTTGACCCTGGACCTCAGAAAACACAATGGACCAACACCAGCAGATGACATGGCACCCCAAACCATCACTGACTGTGGAAACTTTACACTGGACTTCAAGCAACGTGGATGAAGTGCCTCTCTTCTTTTCCTCCAGACTCTGGGACCTTGATTTCCAAAGGAAATGCAAAATGTACTTTCATCAGAGAACATGACTTTGGACCACTCACCAGCAGTCCAGTCCTGTTTCTCTTTAGCCCAGGCAAGACGCTTCTGACGCTGTCTGTGGTTCAAGAGTGGCTTGACACAAGGAATGCGACAGCAGAAACCCATGTCTTTCATACGTCTGTGTGTGGTGGTTCTTGAAGCACTCACTCCAGCTGCAGTCCACTCTTTGTGAATCTCCCCCACATTTTTGAATGGGTTTTGTTTCACAATCCTCTCCAGGGTGCGGTTATCTCTCTTGCTTGTACACTTTTTTCGACCACATCTTTTCCTTCCCTTCGCCTCTCTATTAATGTGCTTGGACACTGAGCTCTGTGAACAGCCAGCCTCTTTAGCGATGACCTTTTGTGTCTTGCCCTCCTTGTGCAAGGTGTCGATGGTCGTCTTTTGGACAACTGTCAAGTCAGCAGTCTTCCCCATGATTGTGTAGCCTATAGAACTAGACTGAAAGACCATTTAAAGGCTTTTGCAGGTGGTTTGAGTTAATTAGCTGATTAGAGTGTGGCACCAGGGGCCATCAATTTTGAACCTTTTCACAATATTCTAATTTTCTGATATGATGAATTTGAGATTTTCATTTGTTGTCATTTGTAATCATCAAAATTAAACAAAATAAACATCTGAAATATATGAGTTTGTATGTAATGTATGAATATAATATACAAGTTTCACTTTTTAAATGGAATTACTGAAATCAATCTACTTTTTCATGATATTCTAATTTTATGACCAGCACCTGTATAGGGGGGGGTGAAAGAACAAATGTCTCATCATCATCGGGATTTGCTCCGTGATCAGAGGAAATGTTACTTGGCGCAGTGGTGAAAATTGGAAGTTCAGTTTAATATAATACAACTCTGTGATTAGTTCCGTCTGAAATGAATGAAAATAGTTGTTTTAATGGTTATTGAGTCAGATATGTGGCGGTAATGTTTGATTTATCTAAAGGTTTTAATCTGTTACTGTGTAAATGGGTTTGGCTGTAATTTAAGGACAGATTCTAATAGATCTGCAGGGTGGGGACTATAAATCTGATAGGAGTTTAATTTTTTTATTGCTGTTTTGCACAATATGCTTAACTAAGTATTTTTTGTTGTTGAATATTAGAGATTTTGCAGATATATTTTTATAAATACATTGTTTAGATTTACTTATATCATTCTACCCCTTTTATAGAATAGAATAGAAAATCCCTTTATTGTCCCACAATGGGCAAATTTACAGCAGCAGAACGATGATTGAAAATAGTCACACAAATTCGGACCTTAGAAAAATGTAGAAGAATAACATAATAGGGAAGAGTTAAAATATAAACAATAAAATACTGTAAAGTGTTTTAACAATATAAAACTGGAGAATAAATAACCAATATGCAGCTATGGATATTTTTACAGTAATGGATATTTGAAAATAGCAGCAACATCAGAGATGTGCAGAATGACAGCAGCAGGTTATTTAACTGACTAAGGTTTCTATCATTACATTTGATTTTATTTGTTCCTGCTCCCGGTGGTTGGAACCTTTATTCCACTCTGGATTCTTGTGAGTGTAGTCTTTGTTCACTTTAACTTTTAAAAAAATAAATAAATAAACAAACAGTTTTGAAAACCTCGGTATTCATTCTTTTCCTGCTTTGTGTGTCAACTTTCTCGGTTGCTAAGCAACAGAGCATACGGCGGTAAAACCCGCCGAAGGGTGGACCTGTTCGAATTTACAGCCAAAACTCTTCCGGCCTCCTTATTTTCAAGGACTTCGAAGGATCCAGTCTAGGTAGACCGCGTCCTTGGAGGATGCAGCCCAGGTTTTTGAACAGAGCCTCTGATTAAGAACAGGGCTGCCCGCACTGACGCGGCTCAGGGATTACGTCACACGGAGCGTCGTGCGCAGTGAAATCAGGACATTTCCTCACTTTCTAAAAAAAACCCCGGGACGCCCGGGACAGGACGTGAAATACGGATATGTCCCGGGAAATACGGACCTTTGGTCACCCTATTTTAGCACCCCTAGTTCTCTCATTTTTATTCCAAATACAATTTATAATTTGAATCACAGGGCTATTTTTATCTCTATGGTTCAGTATTTTCTCAAGTAGCAACTTTAACTGCTATACTTTCCTGTCTTAAAAGGCAGAACTCTTCTAGTAAAAAAAAACTAATTTGTTGAAATGGGGGGGGCCTATTGTTTGAACCCCTTAGGGGCTTTTAAAAACAAAAATGTCTTTTTTGCGCTTTATGAAACAAAGTACCCTATATTTTGTGGATGTACAGCTACATTTCTCATGTAAGTTTGCGTAGTTTTAACACAAACATTTTTTTTTCACATTGCACCAGAACAGTTAATGAGCAACCTGTACTTGTGTGCTTGTTTGTTCTGTCTAAAATGTTTATTTTGGAATAAAGAGGTTAATATAAAAAATATTTTTTGTCCGATTCATCGATTAATTGAAAAAATAATCGGCCGATTCATCGATTTTTAAAATAATCGTTAGTTGCAGCCCTAATTTCTATTAACTCCTTCAGAGAAGAACCAGACAAGCAACCTTTGTTCTCAACAGATCCTCCTTAGTTGTGCTTCTCCAGCTGTGTTTAAACATGTTTGTGGGGTTAAAGTGTGACTATGAAATGTTTCCCCGATCAGTAAGGAAGACGTGAGAAATCCTAAAGATCTGCTATTTTCTTCTATGCTGTTTGTTTTCTGCCTGTTTTCTGAGGTCGACTTGTCATGATCCATAAATTCTCCAAAATTGAACCACATTCCTCTTACATACAAACGTGTTCTTTTTTGTTTAGACTTGAATCCACTGATGAATGACATCTCTTTGATGAAGCCCTAATCAGACTTGGAGGTTTGAATAAAAAATGAATTAGGATTGGATGAGAGCGTAGAGTGGAAGGATAGCGGTACGGAGGGTTGATTTTTCCAGCGTTCCCATGAATGACTGGGTGCTCTCTCTGTCTCGGTCTGCAGGGCGGCAGCGAGAGCTGGTTTACCGAGAGCAACGTGGCCATCGCCTCCCTCGCCTTCCACCCAACGGCTCAGCTCCTCCTCATCGCCACCAACAACGAGCTGCACTTCTGGGACTGGAGCCGCCCCGAGCCGTTCGCCGTGGTCAAGACGGGCAGCGAGACGGAGCGAGTAAGGTGGGTCAAAGAGCATCGGCGAGCAGCGGGGCCAGGAAGCTCTGCCGGCATTCCCAACCGGAGTCATTAAACCAACAAAGCTCAGCTGGCTGGAACCGGTTCTATGAAAGCAGCATAACTTTTACTCATAGATTAAAGGGATGTTTCAGAGAAAAATCTTAACATGTATAGATTTAGAATCTTAAAATGAGCTAAAATCATCCTGCTAGTTTGTTTGCCAGCAGCTGCTGTCATTATTTTCCTTCCAAACTTTCTGTAATTGTCTCCTGTAAGGAAACTATTTATGATCATTTTTTTAAAAAGCAAGCTCTACTTAAACAAGGAGGAGATGGTGTGAAAGTAAAAGGCTTGTTTCTGTCCTGCTCTCTGTAGGTTGGTGAGATTTGATCCTCTGGGTCACAACCTGCTCACAGCGATTGTGAATCCATCCAATCAGCAGGTGAGTTTAAGCGCAGTTTCTGAACTTTTACATGTTAAGATGGAAGAAAATCAGTCAAATCCAGTTTCCGCACCAAGGTCTCAGTTCTTTACATTCCTGGTATCCATTGATCCGAGGTTTTCCAGGTTTTCTGGAGATGCTTTAAAGTTCTTCTTCGGTCTATGGCCGTTTTAACATCCAGTTTAAATGATAAAGATTTTTCCAATTTAAGATCCGATGTGTGTGATGTTAATGTAACTATGGCTACGGTCACACTGCAGGCCTTAATGCTCAATTCACATTTTTCCATTCAAATTTCCAACTACCGTATTTTCACGACCATAAGGCGCACCGTACTAAAAGGCGCACTCTCAGTTATGTGTCCCATTTCTGTATTTAACACAGACATAAGGCGCACCGGACTATAGGGCGTGTTTTTTTATATACAGGTACATGTCTTCTACTACCTTTAAATACCTCTACTGCGTATTTAAAAATAGAGCGGGGGCAAAACTGAGTATGACTGTGCTTTATTCATGTATTTATTACAAAGTATTAATCAAACCTGGCAGCTGGCCGTGAGACAGACACATCGCAGATGACACAGCGCTGTGATCACTCCTAAATTAACTTAAAATCCTGAAACCTGCCGACGGAATATGTTCGCTTTTATTGCCGGTATCCTGGTGCCTGCAGTTTAAATTATTTAGATGAAAAACACCTGCCAGCCGCCGCGGTGAACCTGGAGGCTGCCCAGCCTAGAGGCTGCTGTTGAAGGGATTTCTGCTGTCGGTGTACCGCTGGTATGTGGGGGTCTGAGCGCCTCCGACAGAAAAAGATAATCTGGATGAACTGACTGCAATTATTAAGTTTTCAGGTGGACTTTCTCACTTAAAACATATTAAAACTACTTTATTCCCCCTGATCACAGCAAATATAGCTGCAAGATTTAGATTATTTAGATGAAAAAACACCTGCCAGCCGCCGCGGTGAAGAGGAGGAGACCCGCCCAGAGGCTGCTGTTGAATTAAGTTTTCAGGTAGAAAAATAGAGCGGGAGCAAAACTGAGTATGTTTGTGCTTTATTCATGTATTTATTACAAAGTATTAATCAAACCCATCAAAGTCATCATCCTCTGTTTCTGAATTAAACAGCTGCGCTAAATCAGACATGCCAGTTTCCCCTTCTTCGCTGTCAGAGTCACTTTCCGTGCAGCGCGGCTCCTCAGAAATAATGCCGGCTTTTGCGAAAGCTCGAACAACAGAGCCAGCAGACACGTTAGTCCAAGCATGGTAAATGGTAAATGGTATGTACTTATATAGCGCTTTTATTCAAGTTAGGAGACTTGACCAAGGCGCTTTACTCTACATTCATTCACCCATTCACTCACACACTGATGGTGGCAAGCTACATTGTAGCCACAGCTGCCCTGGGGCTCACTGACAGAAGCGGGGCTGCCGTACACTGGCGCCACCGGGCCCTCTGACCACCATCAGTAGACAATGCAGGTGAAGTGTCTTGCCCAAGGACACAACGACAATGAAAGTCGGAGTCGGGGCTTGAACCGTCAACCCTTCGATTTCATGGCAAACTCCTACATCCAACGCCACTGTCGCCCCAAGCATCAACAATCCATCCGCTAACGGTGGCGTAACTTGCCCGGCGCTGCCTTCCACTTATCGTGAAACTGTGCTCTCCGTCTGTCATCCATCGCTCCCACGCCGCTCGCAGCCTTACTTTGAACGGCCGGTTCACACCGATGTCGAGCGGTTGAAGTTCCTTTGTCAGACCCCCGGGATAACGGCGAGCACAGCGTTCATTTGATTCACCTTTTTTTTCACATCGGCTGTGAGATGGGCACGCAGCGATGGTGATGCGTGGAAAAAACCACCTGGTCTCCTCACATACAGCTGCCTTTCATCATCTCCTCATCCATCCAGCCTTTTCCATTTGCGTTAATATCATGTGTCATCAGAGCGCTGTGTCTGTCTCGCTGTCAGCAGCAAAACTTCAATTTTTCCATCTCCAGCTGCAGCAGCGCGTCAAGCACGTCAGATGCTTAAACGCTCCCGACGCGCTGCGCCTGCTGCTCAAAACGCGCTGCGGGACCTTTTGCTGCGCCTATACGCGCGTCAACCGTTGACTTTGCATGTAAACTCGCTGCTTCTGCTGCACCTGCTGGGTCCGGTTCACACCGATGTCGAGCGGTTGAACAGCGAGCACAGGGTTAATTTTTTTCCCCATGTTTTTGACATCAGCTGTGAGATGGGCACGCATGGAGTCACATATTAACAGCGATGGTGATGAGTGGGAAAAAAACACCTGGTCTCCTTACATTCAGCCACTCTTTCATCATCTCCTCAATGAGGTGGTCTCAAAAGTCGCAGTTAAAACACACATAAGGCGCACCGCACCAAAGGGCGCACCGCACATTTTGAGGGGAAAAAAAAAGATGTTTATGTGCGCCTTATAGTCGTGAAAATACGGTAACTTTTTTTCTCAGAATATATTTTTTTCATTTTGATTTTCTTTTTTTTTTCAAATTTCAGGTTGATTTTTACAAATTGAATTTATTTTAAATAACATTTTCCAGATCACCTTCTCTTCCAAACGCTTGCTCCTGACCAATAAAAACATTGCTTAACCTCTTACACCCTCAGGGGGTATAAATAAATTTCTGCCTGACAAAAACACCCAAAAGTAAATCACTTATAGCCTCACAGCTATTAGATATAAGTTACTTATATCTAATAACTTATAACTAAAAACTTAATCTAAACTTAATCTAAAAACTTATAACTTTTGGTACCTCTGTAAAGGTAAGATGTCATAGAATGGTTTTCTGGTGTCAGCACCATTGTAGCTTTGACCCTGCCTGAAATATTAGGGACAAAATACAAAATATTTTGCTTTTTTTGAACCTCGCCAAAATTTTCTTTGAAATAAACATTGCAAAACACTACCAAAATATTATTTATAGCACAAAAAAGTAGTACAGACTTTTAAATCTAAATGTTGTGTAAAAATATACCAAATTTGGACTCAATCAGATGAATCATATTTATTTTAGAATGGTATTAGTGAGAAATTTCTTAGACGGAGAGGCCATTTTGGCACATTTATCTATAATTGTCACCAAACTGTGCCAAATGTGTTTTTTACATCAATACTGGGGGTTTGTTAAAATTACGAGGTCACGTAGCAGCTGGACCCACCGGTGGGTCCGTAGGGTTCTAGGGGTTAAGTCCAGCCGATCAATAGAAAAGCGTCTTCACTCCAGAGCAAAGCCCCGCCCCTAGAATGAAGAGAATCTGATCTGGAATACATTTTTTGAAAATAATGACATTTATAAAACTTAATCTGACAAATAAGAAATAAAAAAATATAGCCTGAAAAAATAAAATCTAAAGAAAAATGTGTGGATGTAAAGATGTAAAACAACAACTACAACTTTAGCTCCTTCATCACGGGCTGAACAGATGTAGATCGGCGTGCAGGTGATCACCACAGGACGCGTCTCCTGGCTGAAGCGTCCATTAGCAGCTGGTTCCGTCTGTTCTCAGTTCTTTCCTTTTTCCGCAGACTGATGACGACTCCGAGGTTCCCATGGACAGTGTGGAGATGCCTCACTTCCGCCAGCGTTCCTTCCTGCCTTCCCAGCCAGTTCGCCGGACGCCGATCCTCCACAACTTCCTGCACATCCTGTCGTCCTCCCGCTCTGCGGGGCACAGCGTGGGCGCCGAGCAGCAGCAGCAGCTGCCGCCACGGCCTCCAAGCGACAGTGCTAGTGCCGCCGAGGCCCCCGGTACAGCGGGCGGAGCCTCCATTCCAGGTTGCACCCAGCACCTGGGCATGCTGTGCGTGTGCACTCGCTGCTCCGTCAGCCGGAAGCGCACGATGCCCGCCGGCGCCTCAACGACGGCTACGCCAGACCCCAGAGTCTCGTCGGAGACCCCCCCTCTCTCCACCGCCTCTACCTTCTCCTCGGCACGCACGGAGCCCAGGCAGCCCACAGAGCGGCCCTCAGCCTTCACCTCCGTCTACTACAGCGCCGGCGCCTCCCTGAACCCCATCATGCCAAATATCTTGGAGCCTCTGTCGGCCCCCAGGCCCAGCCCAGACTGGACCCGCAGCCTGTTGAACATGAGAGAAGTAGGGGTGGGTCCGTCCATGCTGCCTCCTCGGACTTCCTCCTCCTCCTCGGTCAGCCTGCTGTCGGTGCTGCGGCAGCAGGACGGCTCGTCTCAGTCCCCGCTCTACACCTCTGCCTCCGAGGGCCGAGGTTTCTCCCAGCAGGGGGACACGGGGCCCCGGGAGTCGGCCGGCACCAGCAGCGGCCACCACCCGTTCTGGGATGGCTCTCGGAGCTCCTCGGCCTCCTTCCGGAACGTCCTGCAGTGCAACCTGAGCCGTTACTTCCTGGAGATCGACCGCATAGACATCGAACCGTCACTGGGGGGCAGCATAGCCAACGGGAACCAGGAGCCCGGCCAGGAACTGCTGAACAACAACATGGACACAGAGAGGGCGAGCCAGCCCTCCTCATCCTCCTCCCCGACCATCATCCATTACCAGCCTCCCGCCCCGCCCCCCGCCGCCTCCAGCAGCTTGGAGAACAACGTCCCTCCCCCGGCCTCCAGGGGCCACCTGAACCGCTGCCGGGCCTGCCATAACCTGCTGACTTTTAATCAGGACTCACAGCGCTGGGAGCGCACGCACCAAACCTCCTCCACCTCCTCTTCCTCCTCGCTGGATGCACCCTCCTCTTCCTCTTCCTTCCCCTCCCCAGCAGCACCTTGGCAGCCGGATGACAGCAGGCGGACACTAGAAGCTCAGAACCTGGAGAGGAGGGCGGTTCCTGAGCCCATCGAGCAGCCGCCTCTGCCTCCTGCGGGGGCCGGAACCGTGGCCTTCCCTCTGGCCCCTCCTCCCAGCCAGGCCACCGAGCAGACGGTGGGCCTGGTCTACAACCAGGACACAGCGCAGTGGGAGAGGGTGTACCGGCAGGCAACCAGCAGCCGGACCGCCGAGCCACCAGAGGCCTTAAGCCAAGAAATGCCTGTTGACCCCCCTGATGAGGACTCGCTGCGGAGGTACGGCGTCTCAGAGTTAATTTAAGGCCATCAAAACACAAATAAGAGTAATTAAATCCAAGTCTGGTTTCTGTCCAGATCTCAAAGATGTAATGAGATCGCTGCTAAGATAACTTGATTTATCAAACCGTGAGCTAAAAAAAGAACCAACAGGAACTAGAGATTAAAAAAGCCTTAAGTCTCCATTAGCTGCCAACCAAGCTAACTAAGATTACATTTGTGCAAAACCAGGGGATTACATCAGCTTATTATGTTTAGATGTTTCCTGATCTCTGAATTATTATATTGGATCTTTAATAAACCCCAAAATAGAGATTGACCCATAAAGGAGTTTTAGATTGAATCAGTCTAACCGATCCTCCTGATGTGCTACCGATATTTTGGGGACAATTTTTTCTCTATTTATATGATTATAAATGAAAATGATAACAAATGTTACACAATTCTCCATTTGAACAAAAAAAAAGAAACAATCAACCAAACATGAATAATGTTAAAGGAATAGTACACCCAAAACATGATTAGCCTTCATTTTCTACTCACCCCCATGCTGAACAACACTCTGGAGTACTTTTTTGATATCTCAAATGCATCTGGAGATCTGGGAGGCTTCTTGCTGTCTGCTGACATTCAAATAATTGAGGTCTATGGCGCCTGAGGCAGAAAGGTCCATAAAAGTCCACAAAAAACGTGTCAATATTCCTCCATACTGCTCGTCCAATGTATTCCAAGTGTCCTGAGTGGGTAGCGTCCAGAATTTACTCGAAACAAAGTCATTTAGAATGTTTTTAGAGCATAAACAGTAGTGTATAGGATTTCCTGAAAGCGCGCGCCTGCGCGTTCACGAGTCTACGGAAACCGCGGCAGACCAAACCAGACGAAAGTGCGCATTCAGCGTCTGCTCTGCCGATAATGCAAGCGTAGAAGAAGAAATGTGCTGTTTACCTGTGCAAAGAAAGAAACAACGAAAGCAAAATGTCTGAGGACTTCAGTGTTGAGGAAGAGCATGAGTTCTTTGCCGAGCTGAATGCGCACTTTCATCTGGTTTGGTCTGCCGGTTTCCGTAGACTCGTGAACGCGCTTTCAGGAAATCCTATACACTACTGTTTATGCTCTAAAAACATTCTAAATGACTTCGTTTCGAGTAAATTCTGGATGCTACCCACTCAGGACACTTGGAATACATTGGACGAGCAGTATGGAGGAATATTGACACGTTTTTTGTGGACTTTTATGGACCTTTCTGCCTCGGGCGCCATAGACCTCCATTATTTGAATGTCAGCAGACAGCAAGAAGCCTCCCAGATCTCCAGATGCATTTGAGATATCAAAAAAGTACTCCAGAGTGTTGTTCAGCATGAGGGTGAGTAGAAAATGAAGGCTAATCATGTTTTGGGTGTACTATTCCTTTAAGCAGGTTGGATGGAAAGGCACTGTGCGTCTGTGCTGTGATCTTTTGGCTGCTGAACCCACCAGTGAATTGGTGAATGTCGATTTGCTGAATCTGAACCACAGAGATGAACGTAGATCCAGAGCCGAGCTCAGCACACCGATCATCACCATCATGGCTCTGGAACTGTGGCGTTCCTCCTGCAGAGCAGCAGCATCACACACAGTGATCACGGCTGCATCAAAATAATAATAATTGAACTTTATTCATCTCACACCAGCTCCCCAGGAGCAGTGTGGGGCTAAGGGTCTTGCTCAGGGACCCAGAGTGGCAGTCTGCAGGAATGGGGCTTGAACTCAGAACCTCTGGGGACCAAGTGTGCCGCTCTAACCACTAGGCCGCCACTCCCCCATGTTTTCAGCAGCTGGGTTTGGATCTACCCTGTCAATCATCAGGACCAGGAGTCGAGCTCTTCGGTCAGAGGCGCTCATAGGCCGATTTTCTCTATGTGACCGCTCTCCATGTATAGTTGTGGTTCAGCAGCGCAGTGAAATCAGACGCTTATGAGGATTTATTTTTTTATATAAAGTGGATTGAACGGTTTGTTTTTATTGATCACAGCCTGATAAATCATAGCTTAGGTCTGCAGATGAGAACCTAAATGAAACGTATCATTCTATGCTCCGCCCCCAACAGGCGGCTGCTAGAATCCTCCCTGCTGTCGTTGTCTCGGTACGACATGTCCGGATCCAGAGACCACCCCATCTACCCAGACCCGGCCAGGTACGCCACCACACAGTTGTGACACAGGATCCGGCTCTGATTGGCTGTTTGTGACCTGAAGCTTCTTTCTTTGCTCCGCAGACTTTCTCCAGCAGCGTACTATGCTCAGAGGATGATCCAGTACCTGTCCAGACGGGACAGCATTCGCCAGCGTTCCCTGCGATACCAGCAGAACCACCGCATGCGAACCATGTCCACGTCCTCCGACAGCCCCGCCCCCAACCCCTCTGGCGCAATGGACAACAGCGACGTGGACTTCGAGGAACTGGAGTAAGTAGCTAAGCTTGATGGGCTGGAAATGGAGAGGAGATACTGAACGTTTCACAAGAATGTAGAGTATGGACGCCTGTTCTTGGGTAGTATGGACTCTGGGAGAACAGAAGCATGGAGAACAAATCTGTGTCAACTGGAACAGAAGCATAGTCATGACATCACCACACGCTCTTCTTTTTTTTTGAGTTTTTTTTTGAGTTTTTTTTTTTTTTTTTGGTTTTTACTGTTCTAGTGGCTCTATTTTTCTGACAATAGGCTGACAGGAAAGGGGCATAAAAGAGGGGGAGAGACATGCAGTTCACAACACGTCATCTCAAGGCACTTTACAATTCAACAAGATCTTCCAGTCAAATTGATACAAAGTTTTCTATCTAAGGAAAACCAGTTGATTGCATCGACTCATTGTCTCAAATGCAATCCCAAGGAGACAGAAGCAGACATAGAAAAAGGAAGCATAGATACAAAAGGCAACTTTAAACCAGCTCCACAGGCGGGCCCGTCCAGGAAACACACAGCCAGGCAGACTAGCTCAGAACCAGCTCCCACGTCAGAGGATGAAGAGAACACATCTAATTAGTCACAGTCAGAGAAACAGGACTACACCGAAAAACAGGCCGATCCCGAACATCAACATTAATAGTCTCTAGATAATAAACCATTCCTTTTTTCATTTGATAGGGTAATACTGATTAACACAGTCAGATAAACACTACTCAGATGAACGTTTTGCCAAATAAAAATTTGTACTTTGCTGGCTCTGCTATGCAGAGAGGGGTGCAGACGGGCTAACGTTGGCCCTGGTTGCGGTTAGCCTCTCAAGATCAGAAAATTTTTTATTACGCACTAAATTGGCCATAAAGCATAAAGTTCTCGTCTCAAATTATGTTAAAACGTAATTTTGTAGAACATCAGAAAGGTGAACTTTTAACTTAAAACTCTGAGATCTGTTAGCACTCCCCTGATAGCTGCTGATGTTGCAGTGCATGCTGGGACAGCTGTCAGTCTGGAGAACAGACAAGTCTGCTCTGATCAGAGCATGTGAACAGAGCGGAGCGCCACATAATTTCCGCTCCCTGCTCAGGAGGATGTTCACTCATTGGCTCCGCTGCTCAAAGTTGCGCCAGGAAGCTCCGCACTCGCCTTAATTTTCCTGCCGCTGCGGCAAAATCGCTCCACACTCCTTCAAATTTTCAGGAGAAGGCATTTTCTGACATTTTTCCTTCATGTAATAATGCCAGGGCGCTGGGACACACGGCGTTTGATTTAATGATGTGACCGATACATGTGTATTTCCTTATTTAACTGGCTGTTAAATTATCGTACTGTTTCCCAGCTGTGAACGTAACACCTCGCTCCATTTATGTTGCCCCGCGTTTCCTATTTAATTAGAAATTTATTTTACTAGACTTCATTAAAAAGGTTGCTTTGCATCTTATTGCAAATGAGGTAATAGCTATAATGCACGCATGTGATCCATTATCAAAAACAGGCTCTTACCACCACAATCACTTTATGTAAACCCACTCTATATTAAGCATAGTTAGTGCATGGTTTTATGATATTTTATCACACTTCAATCAAATAAATGTTATTTTACAAATTTTATAATCCAATATTTTTAACTGACGTTGTGAGCGCATCGGAGCGAACTGGAGCGCAGCGAAATCCTCACTCTGGCCTTTGAATTGAAAACCTCTCTGCCCTCCACCATATTGATTTCCCTCCGCTCCACCGCTCACTCCACGCTCCGATTACATGCTCTGGCTCTGATGCATGCTGGGTAGTTTTAGTCAGTTTTTGGTCTTATGCTCCAGTGAATTGGAACAGTGCTGAGGCTGATGAGAGCTCACAAGTACGCATTAGAAGAAACTGCAAAGGAGTCCAAATAAACCGTTTATAAAGTTGCTAAAATGAATAGAAAACTGAATAAGTCAAAGGGGGCCACCTAGAAAACCTCACCTTAGACCAAAGCATCAAGATCACATCCTCAACTAAGCCAATAGAAAAAAAATACTACACAGTAATCCTTTTAACCTGAGGAGGGCGCCAAACAGACAACTTTAGACACAGAAGAAGGATTTTAACAAATGTACATGAAATTGCCAAAAATAATTATCATACGTACATTTATGGCTTATTTTATAATGTGGACTGATAGAAAAGGCCTGATTAGGTAATATTCTTCAAACAGAGGACGGTAATTCAGGTACGAGAATGATTGACCCATTGTGCATTCACCAAAGTTACAGAAACTGAAAACTAAAGTGTATTGAAGCGAAGGCAAGCTGATATATTCCCATATTCATTGTTCACTTGATATTGAACTGATTTACCATATTAATAGCGGATCAAGACATGTCGGAAAAGGCATTATCTCCAGAAGACTGTGGTTTATCACCAAAATAAAGGTGGTTTAGGGTGAGTCGTCCTTTAAGCAGCTCAGTGTATCTGTTAATAAGAATGGATTCAAATCAGTTTTAAAAGGATGAAGATCGATTCTTTTTCTCTCTGATGTGGTTTGATCTCTAATTTGATCATCAGTATTTAACACATTTATTTTAGCTATAACCTTAATTACATGACTGTTTAGTTGTGCAGCATGTTAACCCGCATTATATCAACATTATACAGCATTAATAGAGGCTGAAAGGACAGATTTAAAATCAATCTCTGGTTTTATGAATCAGTCCTGACAGCTGCTGCTCCTGTTCAGTCGTCTGCAGGGAGTTTTTTCCCCTATAAGGTGCTTCATGCAAGTAAACTTTTCCACTGCTTTGTTCCAGTGATCCTGCAGACCGAGCGAGACACAGGACACCAAGGAATGCCAGGATGTCTGCCCCCTCGCTGGGGCGATTTGTCCCACGGTGAGACCCTCATAAATCAAACCTGCTGTTCATTTGGTTCCAAATGGGTCCAAACTGATTCGCTCTCATCCCTGCTTTCTGCAGCCGTTTCCTGCTTCCGGAGTACCTGCCGTATGCCGGGATCTTCCATGAACGAGGACAGCCCGGTCTGGCTACTCACTCCTCCGTCAACAGAGTTCTGGCTGGTAAGCAGGACTCTAACAAGTTTAAAGCTTTGGATCATTTTAAGCTTAATGACTTTTAAAGATTTATTACAATAATTAGAGCTTCAGGAATTTGGGCTGGATTCTGTTCCTCTATTGTTTCCTTTTGTAAAAGAAATTTAAATTCAGATTAGGGCTAAAACAATCGGTTTATACGTGATTAATCTATTATAGGAAATATAATCAACTAATTTGGCAATCGATTAATTGTTGACTGGAGTATGGAGACTCTGAAACTTCATTTTAGCTGACAGAACAAACCTACCGTATTTTCACTAAAAGGCGCAGTCTCAGTTATGTGTCCCATTTCTGTATTTAACACACACATAAGGCGCACCGGACTATAGGGCGCGTTTTTTATATACAGGTACATGTCCTCTACTACCTTTAAATACCTCTACTGCGTATTTAAAAATGGAGCGGGAGCAAAACTGAGTATGTTTGTGCTTTATTCATGTATTTATTACAAAGTATTAATCAAACCTGGGAGCTGGCCGTGAGACAGACACAGAGCACTGTGATCACTCCTCTGAAACAGTTTATTTACGCATAAATTAACTTAAAATGCAGAAATCTGCCGGCAGAATATGTTCGCTTTTATTATCCTGGTGCCTGCAGTTTAGATTATTTAGATGAAAAACACCTACCAGCCGCCGCGGTGAACTGCGAGGAGGCGACCCGGCCAGACAGAACTAATATTAGAAGGCAGGATAGTAATCTGGATGAACTGACTGCAGTGATTAAGTTTTCAGGTGGACTTTCTCACTTTAAAACATATTAAAACTACTTTATTCCCACTGATCACAGCAAATATAGCTGCAAGGCTAAGAAAGGATAGACTAGCTCCGCCCAACGCGCGTCAGACACACTTTTGCACCGTGCAGCCAGAGAAGCAAAGCTGCTTCAGCCGCGCGTCAGAACTAACTGGTACAAGCAGCAAAAATGAAGCAGCAGACACATGAAAGTAGCATTACTTTGAACGGCCGGTTCACACCGATGTCGAGCGGTTGGAGTTCCTTTGTCAGACCTCCCGGAATAACAGCAAGCACAGCGTTCATTTGTTTCACCATGTTTTTCACATCGGCTGTGAGATGGGCACGCATGGAGTCACAGATTAACAGCGATGGTGATGAGTGGGAAAAAACCACCTGGTCTCCTTACATACACCTCCCTCAGCCACTCTTTCATCATCTCCTCAATGAGGAGTTCTGCATAAGGCACATACCTGTTCTTTTATACACAATCCACGCCCACACTTCCCCCTTTAACGTTCTCATGGTGGTCTCAATAACATCCGCAGTAACAACACACATAGGGCGCACCGCACATTTTGAGGAGAAAAAAAGACGGCTATATGCGCCTTATAGTCCTGAAAATACGGTAATAGTAATTAGCAGTAATTATACCAAAACCAAATAAAAATCAATATTTTGCATTTAAGATTTAAAAAAAAGGTTTTCTTCTGTAAACATGCTATATCCAGGTCTCTGGAGTGTTAGCTTCACTTGATTTAATTCTTTTAAAAAATCTTCTCCAAGGAACGTTACGCTCTCCGATTATTTATTGATAAATAAATAAAAAATAGTCGTCAGATTAATCGATTCGAAAAGTAATCGTTAGCTGCAGGCCGAATCCAGACATGAAACTTTGAAAAATGTTTTAATCACAAATAGATTTCAGAGCAACTTGGTTGTTTTTCATATTTTATATTTTGAGAATTTATTTTTATTTTTGTAATTATTTATTTTCTATTTTTGTTTTTAAAATTTCTCTTTTTCAAGTTGAGTTTTCAATATTTCTTTCTTTTCAAGTAGTTTTTCTTAGATCACCTTCACTTCCAGCCTAATACCAACTCTCAGTCGACCAATAGAAATGCAGCTTTGCTCCTCCCCACTAAAGCAACCCCGCCGCCAGTAGGAAGAGAATCTGATCTGTGCCTTTACAAAAGAATTAGATTTATCAAACTCTAAACAAATATAAAAGATTTATTTAGAAATGGAAGCCCAGCATAGTTAATCATCTGAGCTATTCTGACTGAAATGGAGCAGTTAAAGTCTAAAGTTTAAATCTGTTTTCTTCTTCAGGAGCCTCCATTGGAGAGGGTCAGTCTGCGGTTGCCAGCAACATCGCCAACACAACATACCGCCTGCAGTGGTGGGACTTCACCAAGTTCGACCTGCCAGAGATCAGCAACGGTGCGAGATCTCCTCACTCCACCCTGCCCTCTGACCTCACTGACATCCGCTTCTTTTCTGAGAATGTACAGGATTCACTGCTAAACATGAGATAGAAGAAAAAATTGAGGGCATTTTCCCTTGAGTTAAACAGGTCTGAAAATTTGCTAAAGAAATAAGATAATTTACGTAAAAAAAAAAAATTCTATTTTCTTATTTCAAGTGCATAAGGTAAGATAGACTTTATTGATCTCACAGTGGAGAAATTCTCTTGTCACATTGGCTCAAAAGTCAAAAGGAATAAAATATATAATAATAATATCCAATGATCTGATTTTAAAGGCTAAACTCCTCGGTCCATCCGTAGGTCGTTATTAAGCTGCTCTTATCAGAGATAAATTTGCTCATTTTTTGCAGCGTAAATATCTCTGTCTGTCTGTCTTTAAAGGAATAGTACACCCAAAACATGATTAGCCTTCATTTTCTACTCACCCCCATGCTGAACAACACTCTGGAGTACTTTTTTGATATCTCAAATGCATCTGGAGATCTGGGAGGCTTCTTGCTGTCTGCTGACATTCAAATAATGGAGGTCTATGGTGCCCGAGGCAGAAAGGTCCATAAAAGTCCACAAAAAACGTGTCAATATTCCTCCATACTGCTCGTCCAATGTATTCCAAGTGTCCTGAGTGGGTAGCGTCCAGAATTTACTCGAAACGAAGTCATTTAGAATGTTTTTAGAGCATAAACAGTAGTGTATAGGATTTCCTGAAAGCGTGTTTACGACGCTACGGAAACCGCGGCAGACCAAACCAGACCGAACAAGTGCGCATTCAGCTCGTCAAAGAACTCATGCTCGTCCTCAGACATTTTTCTTTCGTTGTTTCTTTCTTTGCACAGGTAAACAGCACATTTCTTCTTCTACGCTTGCATTATCGGCAGAGCAGATGCTGAATGCGCACTTTCATCTGGTTTGGTCTGCCGCGGTTTCCGTAGACTCGTGAACGCGCTTTCAGGAAATCCTATACACTACTGTTTATGCTCTAAAAACATTCTAAATGACTTCGTTTCGAGTAAATACTGGATGCTACCCACTCAGGACACTTGCAATACATTGGACGAACAGTATGGAGGAATATTGTTTTTTGTGGACTTTTATGGACCTTTCTGCCTCGGGCGCCATAGACCTCCATTATTTGAATGTCAGCAGACAGCAAGAAGCCTCCCAGATCTCCAGATGCATTTGAGATATCAAAAAAGTACTCCAGAGTGTTGTTCAGCATGGGGGTAAGTAGAAAATGAAGGCTAATCATGTTTTGGGTGTACTATTCCTTTAAAGCTCCTGCTTGGCTTCATTTTTGTAAAACTTCTCATTGTTTGAATTTAAAGGTGCCGTAGGAGATCTTGGAAAAACGGTTCCAGCAAGCTATATTTTTGAACATGCACCATCATACCTCTCCCTTTAGACCGCCTCTTAAAACCACGCCTTCAAAACACATGAACGTGCATGCTGTCTGTCGAGGTGTTCGGATGTTTCCGAGATGAAGAACAAAACAAGCAGAGACCGAGTGCTCCTGACAAGAGCTAACAACAACATAACAGTGCCTAAAGCCTTGCATTGACAGCATGGGCTTTGATGGTCAAAGCCATGTTTACTTCAACATACGGTACAGTGAAGCCAGAATAGCGGACAGGGGTGGAGGTGGAGGGGGCATAAAATGTCCTTGCTTTGTAGGTGTCGAGCTGGGTAGCTGCTGGCCGATCGTTGTCATAACTAACAAAAAACACACGGGAATCACAATTAGTACCGTATAGAGTTAATCTGACGAAATGTTTAGATGCACAACATACATGGCTTTGAGCTAGGTAACATGACTGAGTTCACGTGACTTCACTGGTCCTTACGCCTGCACGAGCATTGAGTAGTTGATTCGTTCATGTGTCAGTGTACGCACGCAGGGGGAGGGACAAGCAGACGACCCTGATTGACGTGTCAGGAACCAATAGTGAACCACAGACTGTGTTTTGTGATTGGTTGGGGTTAGTCATTGGTTTCCCACTGTAGCGGGGACCATTTGTTTTAGTTTCACTTTCAGACCTTCTATGTCACTGTTGGGAGATCTTCAAGCCACGCTGTAAAAAATGCGTCAGAAAACGTCTCCTACTGCACCTTTAAATGCTCTCAGTAGGACAACAGTAGCAGAACGTCTTTCTTTGTGTTTAACTTCCAAGCGTCTCTTTCCTTCAGTGTTTTCTGATCTCTGAGGTTTCTGTTGGTTTTTGTTCCCCTGATGAAGAACCTGGTTTCCCGCCTCGTCTTTGTTTCCAGCCTCCGTCAACGTTCTGGTGCCAAACTGTAAAATCTACAACGACGCCAGCTGTGACATCTCAGCAGACGGCCAGCTGCTGGCGGTTTTCATTCCCAGCAGCCAGCGGGGCTTTCCTGACGAGGGCATCCTGGCCATCTACTCTCTAGCTGCACACAACCTGGGCGAGATGCTCTACACTAAGAGATTCGGTACGGCCTCTTCCTCCTCCTCTTCCTCATCCTCTGCTGACTCCGCCCCATTAAAGCGGTTTGCCCCTCCCCCACAGGTCCAAACGCCATCTCTGTCAGCCTGTCTCCTATGGGATGCTACGTCATGGTGGGCCTGGCCTCCCGTAGAATCCTCCTGCATCCTTCCACTGACCACATGGTGGCGCAGGTGTTCCGCCTGCAGCAGCCGCATGGAGGAGAGACGTCCATGAGGGTGAGGCAGATTAGATCATTTCTCACCTCGTTTTCATCCGATCTCAAAGTTTCTTCTTCTTCTGTCCATTTGCACATGTTGGTTCCTTCACGGTTCGGGTTCTGTTCACTTTCAGATGGTCTTTAACGTGGTTTACCCCATGGCTCCAGACCAGAGACGCCACGTCAGCATCAACTCGGCCCGCTGGCTGCCGGACCCGGCCATGGGTCTGGCTTACGGCACCAACAAGGGCGACCTGGTGATCTGCCGGCCGGTGTGAGTCAAACTAATCCACCTCCGACTCCGTCAGAACCAGATCATTGCTGTTTATCTGGATTGTTTTCCCTGATCAGCTGCAGGATATATCTATTAAATCTATATTCCCCCAAAGGTGGTTAATAACCGTCCTTTCAGAATGACATCCAACATTTTATTAAAAACAAAGCCATGATCAAACATCTAAGCTTCTCTGTTCTGCTTTCTGTGATCTGAACCTCGAATCGTCATCAGCGGATCTGCTCCAATGTTTCTGAACATCCTTCCTTGTTTTTCTTTCTACTTTAGCTTTTTTAATTCATTAAACATTTGGCAGTAAATGGATTCAAAGGGCTGAACATGAAGAAACATAACAGGAAAATAGAGAAGTTCACTGGAGCTGCAAAGGGGTAATTAGATAATCAATGAACATGAATGATTACAGAGAATAAATGATGAATTCAAATAAGGTTATTATAAAATATTGATAGAAGATGAAAGTTTGACTGAAACTTAACTAATAATGTTCAGATAGTTCAGTCAAAGGATCTGAATAAATATATTTTAATCTGGGTTAAAGTAGCTGAAGGTTTTCAGCTTTTTTCCAGTTTATTCCAGATCAGTGGTGCAGAATAACTACAAACTGTGGCTCCATGTTTGGTTCTGGTTCTGATCCAGTAGACCTGAGAGCTCTGGCTGTTGATCCACTGCCAGCCAGCCTGTAAGGTATTTTGGAGCTCAGCCATTCAGTGATTCATAGACTAACAGAAGGATATTAAAGTCTATTCTCTGAGGTACGGGGAGCCGCAGAAAGGACTTTAGACCTGGGCTGATGTTCTCTACTTCCTTAGTTCTAATGAGGACGCAGGCATCAGCGTTCTAGATCAGCTGTCTGATGGACTTTTTAGGCAGAACTGTGAAGACACCACTGCAGGGATCGATTCTAAAGATGAACAAAGCAGGAATCAGTTTTTCAACATTAGTCCTCTAATCCTGGAGATCTTCTTCAGGTGTTAGAAGGAACACGTAGTTTCTGTCTTTATGAGCCTCTGAAGGTTCAGATCTGAGTCCATCTCTACACCCAGATTTAGAGGCTGGATTAACTGAAGCTGGAAGCTAACTTTGAAACACTCTTCCTTTCATCCAAACACTAGGACTTCAGTTTAGTTTGACTCATCTGAAGAACATTTAGTTCATCCATGCGTTGGTTTCTTCTCTGCGTGGATCCAGAGCTGGAATGGGTTCATGGTCACTTGGTGACCTGATGATGAACAGCTAGGTGTTAAACTTTATCGCTAAGGTAACTGATGCTGTTTGTTAAGATCTGAGTTAAGGAGGGCATGGAGATAATCGGAGGGGCCCAAAGATGGACCCCTGGAGAACGGCACGTTGGATTTCTGTGTCTCTGACGTAAAGCTACCCACTGACACTAAACGAGGTCCCGTCCTTCAACTAAGTCATAAACTTTTCCTGGAACGTACAAGAAATTTGTCCCAGTTTTAAAAAGCTATATTTCATATTGAATTTAAACGTTAAGAAATCTGTCACTAGAAATATGAGGATATTTAGCTCATCCAAACAACAGCCAATGGAATCTCCACTCACTGCCTAATTCTGACCAATCAGGATCAGAGGAAAGTATTATATGAAGCAAGAGCAGATTTGATTGGATCATTCGATTCGAATTAAAATGAAAGGAGTCAGTAAGACCTCTTCTTTTGAGATCAAGATTTCAAAGGGTGCAGTTGTCTGAAATAATCTGTACCTGCAGATTATTTTTATTATAATTTGGACTCTCTTAGTGTGGAAATGTCAAAACAAGATCAAAAAGGCTCAGTCTTAGATGGACACTTTTTGCAGTGAAGAACAGGAACCAGGGGGACCGTCAGAAGAAGGAAACGCTCCATGAAGTCGCCGCTCTTCCAGGAATTACTCACCGGGAATCAGATTTAGGCTCAGAATGAAAACATATTTTCATTCCTGGATTTATCCCGCTCCCAATATTCTTAAGTCCCACCCCTCCCACCTGCACCTGTCCTTCATTCTCTCCTTTCTTCTGTCCTTCCTGTTTTCCCTTCTATGTCCTTTTCTCCCGTCTCCCTTCATATTATTCATCCCTTTTTATTTCTCTCCCTTTACCTTTTCCCTCCCTCTTTTCTCTTTTTGTCTCAGTCTAGAACTGGACCAGAGCTTCTGGGGTCGTGGTTCCTGTGAGAACCTTCTAGCTTCATGTTTTGGCTGCTGTAAGGATCCTCAGTGTGAGGCTTTAGTGACCCTCAGCCTCGTTCTCTCAGTAAAACTCCACCTTCAGCTCTGCTGTGTTGGTGTGACCCCCCCACCCACCCGCATAACATCATTATCTTAATGAATGAGCTCACAGGAAGAGCCTCAATTGGAAAAGCCCATTTGGATAAATTACAGAGGCTCTGATCCGAGTGATTCCACGCAGACGTCCCTCCTCCACACAGGAAACTTCCTGAAGGGAAGTGAATTAGCTCAGGAAATCATGTGTTTGTGTCCAGGTTCTACAGAAGCGATGGTGAGAGTCCCGCTGAGCCCAGCAGCGAGCCACTGTTCTCGGTTAACAACAGCGGAACCAGCCGGACTCGAGGTTCTGACAGACCAGGGTGAGAGCTGTAACTGAAAATCCAGCCTGATGGAGTTCCAGGAAGTGACCCGTGAACATTTGAGGTTATTCGAACCTGAACCAAAATTTTCCTGCAATTGATTGTGGGGGAAAAAAATGGTTCTGGTTGACTGTCTAAATCTGGTTTCTACAGATCAGCAAAGATTATTTGAAATGTTAATTGACCTTTGCCGATTGTTCCTCAGATCCCAAACCTACGTTTGGTTCTAGTAATGGGTCAGAACCTGACCAGCTCATGCTAAGTAGACTATTTCTGCTGTTATTTCATCACCGTGTTATGATTTCAGGCCAAACCGCTCCGGATGGAGGCTGGACAGAGACATGGGACTGATGAACGCCATCGGACTGCAGCCGCGAAACCCCGCCCCTTCAGTGACATCACAGGGCACCCAGACCCCGATCATCCAGCTGCAGAACGCCGAAACGCAGACGGAGAGAGACCTGTCGGAGCCCGGTGGTTCCCAGCAGCCTCCCAGTAAGAACAAACACTCCCAGTACAGAAAATAATCGGAATAATATTGAAACTGATAGAAAAACTAGGAATCTGACAGAAAATTGATGAATCTGATAGAAAAGCGAGTTTGACTCCTGTCAGGTTCACTATGGAGGGAATGTTGTTCTATCTTTGGTGAAAGCAAAAATAAACAGTTAAACAGCTTATATAAATTTAAATTATTTAATGAAAACCTGTTTTGTAAGTGGAAAACTCATTCATTTAAAAAAGCTTTTGCGAGTAACTTGGCCATTTCTTTTATTATACTTTAATTTTTTTTCTTAATTTTCTTCCAAAAATAATTTACAGATTAAAATTTCTGTTAGAAATTTTGATCTGTGAGACAGAATTTGAAAAGAATGCATTTCCTAAAACTCAATCTGAAGAAGATCATTTAGAAAAGTAAAATATATTGTAGAACAATTTAAAAAAAAATGTAGAAATTTTAATTTAGAGAAAAGCAATAAAAACAAAAAAACAAGAAAAAAAGCAAATTTATTCTCAAAACCATTTTAAATAAGATTTTTTTTTTTTAAGTTTAACTTTCTGTTTATAAAACAGAATCATTGCTGATTGCTGCTGTCGGACCATCAGTATCCCCATTTCTTTCCTTCGGAACCAAATCTGTTTGTTTTCCGCTTGGTTACCATGGGAACGTGTCTCCACAGGTCTGATGGCAGAAACTCCGTCTACGAGTCGAGCTGCTCAGACGGCTCCAGTTGCACCGGAAAACCGTGTAGTTCAGGACAGAGTCCAGACAGAAAGTTCTGCAGAGACCACCGATTCTGCTGCAGGTGACTGCTTCACCCTCTGTGCTCAGACCGGTCTGGTACCAGAACCAGTACCAGTCCTGATTATAGTCTAAAAATGGTGTCCTGTTCTGTTGAACCATTTGGGACTGTTGACACCACTGCGTTTCATTTCTGACGTCTGGTTCTGCTGATGGGTCAAGTCAAGCCAGTTCTTTGTCTTTCAGGTCCGGCTGAGTCTGCAGAGTTTGTTTCTGGAGAAGACGCGCTGGCCCGGATCCGCCGGCTGATCGCCGAGGGCGGCATGACGGCCGTGGTCCAAAGGGAGCAGAGCACCACCATGGCCTCCATGGGTGGCTTCGGGAACAACATCATCGTCAGCCACCGCATCCACCGAGGCTCCCAGACGGGCCCCGGGGCCTCCAGGCCTCAAGCGGACCCCGGCACTCAGGCGCTTCTCGTCCCCCAGCCCTACCCCCTCCATTCCCTGCAGGCTGATCCTCCCGAGCGACTGTCCCCCATGTGGGGCTCCCAGGTGCTGCGGGGCCCCCGGCCCCCAGGCCTCTCTGTGAGGCTGGACATGGACGATGTTTTCGACGGGGGACGAACTAATGGCTCCCCCCCACAGGGTCCTTCCTCCTCCTCCTCCCTGCTGTTGTCCTCTTCCTCCTCCTCATCCTCTCAAGGCCCCCTCCCCGGAAGTGGAGGCGGGTCTGACGGTTACCCTGGCGACCCCTACAGCAGGTAGTCTTCTGATTGGCCGAGAGAAGCGGAGTCCGGCGTGCTGCTCAGAGCCTTAACTCACAAATACAGGTGCTGCTTTGACACGACCCCCCCCCCTCCCCTTCTCACCCTCCTCATCCTCACTGCGTATAGATCATTCCTCATGGGAAACGACCCTCCGCCCTGATTGGTCCACTTCGTTTCCATGTGATGAAGGGGAGGAAGCAGAGGAGGAGGATGGTTTCTTCATCATAGACGGTCTCCTGCTGCGCTCGGTGCCAAGTGACCAGATAACCAGTAAAGCAGAGACTGACGTCTCCGGACTCACTGGACTTTGTCCTGTGACTGTGATGGGGGGGACAGGGTCCCGTGAGAGGACAGAGATGGGTGTGAGAGCGTCCCATCAGAGGACGAGGGACGCGTATGAGTTTGTCCAATCAGGGGAAGGGGGACGCATGTCAGAGCGTCCTTCAGGGGAAGGGGGACGCTTCAGGCTGAAGGGACAGTAGAGACTGAATGGTGGAAGATTAGATACGGTTTCAGTTTGTTTTGGGTTTTTAGTGGGGGGGGGTCTGGACTGGTACTGTTACCCGGACGGGTCTCGCTCTGACCCCCAATGCTTCTTAAAAACCCAGAGTTGCACTACGGTGTGTTTTGATGCTACATGAGCCTGAACAGAAGAGTGTGTGTGTGTTTGTGTTCACGGTTCTGTTCCATGGTTCTGACCCAGCCCCCATTTACTGATCCAGTCCACATTAAAGGAACAAACAGGGGAAGAAACTGGATCACAAGCTTTGGACCAGAACCGTTGACTTTTTCAGAGCTGCTGCTAATTGTTTTCACTCTGTGAGTCTGGGTCAGAACCGGAGCATGTTTCCTTTTCCAAACTAATCCTGTGTGTTTGGTTCTGGTTCTAAGCCGGTTCACTTAGCTCAGAACATTTGGACCTGATAGTTTTTATCTTCAGCCAATCAAATCATGGACCCATCTCTGCCGCATCATGTGACTGGTTTCTGCAGAGCAGCACCGGGACGGTTCTCTGCCGCGGCTCGCTTATCGGATCTAACCCACTCTGAAAGTGCCGCACTTTGAGCCTCCGAACCGGGCGGACGCTGACAAAATGGAAGGCAAAATGGCAAATATCCAGAACCTAAACGGGTCTTTGTTACAGAGCATCGTTCATTGTCGCCTGATGAAGATGAACGTAGCTCCTTAGGTTCTGGGTGAATCAGACCAAACGCACCAAACAGAACCCTGCAGCAAAGCATCATGGGATTCTGAGTTTTATCTGGTAAGACAAAAAAAATAACGGCGCTCTGCACCCAGAGTGAACTCTGGTCAAAGTTGGACCTTTCTTCCTGGTGCTGTTGGTCCAAACTACATCCAGAATATTTTTAGAAAAAATAACAATGGGAACCATTCCCTGCAGTGTTTTGGTGGATTCTGGAGGTTCTGATTGTTGATTTGACCCGAATCTTGACAGGTTCTTCCTGAAGCGGATCCTCAGCGTTGGATTGACGGTGGGCGACATTTTGTGGAGCTGGAAGCTCAGAGATGGTTTTGGGCTGACAGGTGAAGAAGAAGAGGACTGATGAAGTTGTTCCAGACCTTCAGCTCCTCTTCCTCCCTCGCTCCGTAAAAAACCATTAATAAAGGAGAGATTTTAGCTCTGCTGTGTGCAGAGTGGTCCCGGTACCAGTCATCATGATTGATCAGGTTTCCATGACGACAGCAGAGCTCTGAGGCAGGAAGCAGCAGCTTGATTGGTGGACATTTCAGACCCAGAGAGTGTGTGTGTGTTTAGGCTGTGGAGGGATGAGTGGACAAAGCTGAACGGTACTGCTGTGTCAGGATCCCACTGTGGACCGCTCCAAAACGACTCTTTGAATTTTAGATGTGTTGTAATTAAAGAGCTTTGAGAGTTTCTCTGTGACGTGGCGCCTGTTTTTGTCCTCCGGTTTCACTGTACCCTCAATCTGCACCGACCTGCAGAACCCACCAATCCACGATTTATTCAAATGATTATAAAAATCCTTTAGGTTCTTCAGTTTGGCGGAAGCTCCCTGAGGTTGGTTTGGGTTTAAAGTCCATATTTGTTCTGGTTCAGTCCATTTTATCACATTGGTTCCTGTCATAATGCGCTGCTGTCCAGTTCAGGCTATGATCCCCGTGAAGTCATCCATCTAAATACCCAAACTGGCTGCAGAGTCCAGGACTGCGTGGAGGATGGTTAGGGTCATAACGTTTTATTTTTAAACTGAAAAAAATTATTTACAACTGAAAAAGTAATTTTTAAGTAAAGAAAGATTTCAAAAAAGTTTTCAAACTGCTGCCACCTCAGCGGGGGGGTGGGGCTTAGAACACATTGAGTCGGGATTGTTGACTGACAGTTTAGGTGCCTGCACAATAATATTCCTAACTGCTGCATTCAGGAACCGTGGAAATGTCTTTAAAGGGGTCATAGAATGAAAAACAGAGTTTCCATTGTCATAGATGAATAATGATAGTTCAGTGGGTGAAATGGACGTACAGAGAAGTTCAAACCCCGTCGACGCCTCCTTTCTCTGCAAATCTCACTATTCTAAACTTCCACCATAAAATGAGTGAATCCAAACGAAGCACCAAGGTTGGGTTCGGTCGCTCCGTCCCACTACTGGCTCCCTGCCCCCATCCGCCGGGGTTCCTGGACCAGCCCTGGAGCTCATGGCTCAGTTCTGCTTTTTTTTTTTTTTTCCCCCCTGACATTTTCTTAGGTATGGAAAGTAGGACATGTCCGTCAAAAAGAGGACGTCTGGTCACCCTACCATATCAACAATTTGATGTTTCAATGAGTGAGTGTTTGTTGCTATGATGCGTCTTTGCTCAGCAGCTTCGCTCGTTGTAAACCAACCAATCAGAGCACAGCTCATCTAAATATTCATGATCATACCATAAAAGGAAGAAAACATGTTTCATTCTAGGGCTTTTAACCAGTGTTGCCTTAGGGCTCATAGAACAGCAAATATGCCATTTTTAGCCCAATCAATGTTACACACCCTATTAGAGACCTTAAGGACCAGCACCAAATACACTATAGAATCATTCTATGACCCCTTTAAACCATCTTCAATATTCTATATTGATGGGATTGCTTTAAAGAAGTTAAACATATAATATTGATCTTTTAAAGATTTTTCTATTTCCAACTGTTCCTGAATGCAACTGATGGGAACATTTTAAGTTTTCAGTCCATGACCTATGTTATTTAAGCCCGCCCCATGCTGAGGTGGCAGCAGGTTTGAAACTTAAAAAAAATGGAATCTGAGAAGTAGGTCTAATCTTTTATTTTTATTTAAAATAAATGTAGAAAAAACATGATGACAGAAGTTTATGGCCACAGAGCAGCGCAGTGGGCCTAGTCCAGGAGAAGAGAGCTGAGATCATGTTAGAAAAAAACGCTGCAGGTTGTTTAAAAAATCTGTTTTCTGATGGTCCCCGACTCCCTGCCGAGTTAATTCATTACAGCTCCTTAGTCACATCTGCACCTGGTTTCCATGGCGAACACACAGTGAGGCGTCAGGAGCATCCCTCTGAGATTTCTGTCCATCCAGACATGAAGGCATCATGAAGGGGAAATCCAATCAGAGAAACATCCAAAGGTTTACTAAAGTAAGAATAGCAAGCAGTCATCAAAGAAATGACGAGTTTAAAAAATCCGTGCCTGACCAATGAGAGCAACTGACTGTGACGTAAGCGCGACAGAAAGCTGGTGGGGGAGTGTAATGAATGTAGAGCCTCTTCCTGCTCACGTTTCAACAAAAACCCCAAATCTATTCCTTCCGAAACTGATTCCAAAGCTGAGTCAAACAAGAACTGTTCAATAGCTGTTGCCATCTTACTTGTTTTGCTTTCTCCAAAGTCGCACAGCTTTGTCATCACGCCCTCAAATCCCCGCCCGCTTTGCATCCAGAAATTCAGAACAAATCTCTGCGTTGTGATTGGCCCGCCAGTTCTAGGGCCTGGGGCATTGATCAAGGCCAGACCAAACTCGCAGCCAAAAATGATCTTGGCCGCTGGAGGATGGGGCTAGTTTACTAGGCTATGTCTAGCCTTCTGCGGGTTGGGGAGGATGTACTGCCCCTAGTGGGGGGGGGGGGGGGGGGGGGGGGGGGGGGGGGTGCAGTTTTTAATTACAGAGCAAATAAATGTACCTCTGCATTTAACCCATCCCCTTGGGGAGCAGTGGGCTGCCGTTGTGCGGCATCCAGGGAGCAGTGTGGGGTTAAAGGTCTTTGCTCAGGGACCCAGAGTGGTAGTCTGTGGGAGTGGGGTTCAAACTTAGAACCTCTGGATTCCAAGCGCCTTGTCCTGTCCACTGGGCCACTACTCCCCCTCAAATATGGTCATGAGCTTTTGTTCATGACCAAAAGAACGAGATCCCAGATACAAGCAGCCGAAATGAGTTTTCTCCGTAGTGTGTCTGGGCTCTCGCTTAGAGAGCGAGGAGCTCAGTCATCCGGGGAGGACTCAGAGTAGAGCCGCTGCTCCTCCACATCAAGAGGAGCCAGCTGAGGTGGCTCGGCCATCTGGTTAGGATGCCTCCTGGACGTCTCCCTGGTGAGGGGTTCCGGGCACGTCCCACTGGGCGGAGGCCCAGGGGGAGACCCAGGACACGCTGGAGGGACTGGCCTAAGCGCTGAGGAGAGGGACTTCTGGGCTTCCCTACTGAAGCTGCTACACCCCCACCCCAACCAGACCCCGGATAGGATTTAGGTTAAACACAGGAAATATATTTTGGTTTAAGATTGATTTGGATATAAATTTAAGGCTTGATTGAAATATAACATTCAATATAGATTGAAGATTTAGAAATAGATTTATAGATGCAACAATTATATTTTGCCACTAAATGTGAGAGAAAAATCACTGAAGTGTAAAAAAAAATGTAAATAGGAGAAATGTGGCATTAAAAGGATTTTTTTTTTTCATACATGCTCCTTTGGATCGTATTTAGTGTTTGCTGAAAACATAAAAATCTTAAGTCTT